GGGGCTCTCTGTTGTGTTCCCTGTCAGGGTGGTCATTGGTGGTAACTGGGCACCATCTAGTTCTTCTGGTCTCAGGCTGATGAAGTCTCTGGTTTATGTGGCCCTTTCTGTCTCTTGGGCTGATACTTTCCTTGTGTCTTTGGTGTTCTTCATTCTCCTTTACTCCAGGTGTTTGGGACCAATTGATGCATCTTAGATGGCCGCTTGCAAGCTTTTAAGACCCCAGACATCACTCACCAAAGTAGGATGCAGAACATTTTCTTAATAAGCTTTGTTATGCCAATTGACCTAGATGCATGCAGGACACATTTTCCAGGAAATGTTAGTACATGAATGATCAGATGTTGTCTCAGTCATCTGGTGCTGCTCTAATAGGAATACCACAAGTGGATGGTTTTAACAAAGAGAAATTTATTCTCTCATAGTCCAGTAGTCTGCAAGTCCAAATTCAGGGCATCAGCACCAGGGAATGCTTTCTCTATCGGCTCTGGAGGAAGGTCCATGTCATCAATCTTCCTTTGGTCTGGGAGCATCTCTGCGCAGGAACCTCTGGTCCAAAGGATGCGCTCTGCTCCCGGCACTGCTTTCTCGGTGGTATGAGGTTCCCATGTGTCTCTGCTTGCTTCTCTCTTCTATATCTCAAAAGAGATCGCATTAAGACACTAATCTTGTCAACCTCATCAATATAACCTCATCACAGTGATAGAATTTACAACACATGAGGAGATCACATATAATCTCATCATAGTGATAGAGTTTACAACACGTAAGGAAATCACATCAGATAACACAATCATACAATACTGGGAATCATGACCTAGCCAAGTTGCTACACACATTTTTTGGGGGACACAATTCAATCCATGACAGATGTGTAGATTTTAACAAAATCTGGATGGTGGAGACAAATATTTGGGACTCTACCTGGAATCCTGGAAGTTAGAACATTTAGCTGATAAAAATATTTTAAGATTAAGAAATGTCTGATCAATATCTGCAGATGTTCTTTATTTGAGGGGAATTATACCTAAAGGGGAGCCCTAGCGGCATGGTGGTTAAGAGCTCAACTGCTAACCAAAAGGTCAGCAGTCTGAATCTACCAGCCGCCCCTTGGAAACCCTCTGGGTTTCCCATAGGGTCATGGTGAGTCAGAATCAACTTGACAGCAGTGGGTTTTCGTTTTTTTTTTTACATAATGGGTTATTATCCACATGTTCATTGTGTACAAGTGGGCTGTTCCGTTCCCCAGACCACTTGAGGGAACTTGGGCCCAGGCTGGTAGAGCTCCCACCATCTGGAGGATGCCTGCCACAGTGGTAGTGGCAGTGGTGGCGGCCTTCGTGTCTGAAATCAGTCCTACACTCTGTTTCCTTTTCAACCCAGTCTCCTGATTATGTTTGAGACTCAAGTCTTGTAGAGCCTCCAGTCTTCCTGTGAAGGGGAACCTGTTTTTCTTACTCCAGAACCTTTTACAAGAAGTCAGCAGGGAGCCAAGAGAGTGGACTCACTCACTCCTAATTTCTGTTTCTCCCCTTCCCTGTTAGGAGAACCAAGGAGAAGGCGGCATGGCTGAAGCAGTCACCTTGGCGCTCAGGGCCTCCAAATAGGGGCACTTCCTTAGAGTAACAGATGGGACCAAATGAAAATCCCAGCAGCCCCTCCCGGGGCAGGACTCAGTAACAGTTGTACAAGCTCACCAGCAGAGACCTTCGGAATCTGAAGGAGCCTGTATGTTGCTGACCTGAGCTCAGTCTCATTTTACATAGCTCATCTGGCCCCAGAAAAGCCTAGGCTAGTCACTCCAGATGGCAGACTGGAATCTGTGTTGGTGATGGTCGTATAGGCTTTTCTTATAGAAAGAGGAAACGAGTATCTGAGGTCTTATTAATGATAGAAACTTCTATTTATGGAGCACCCAGTCCTCACAGGGTGTCTTGCTAGGTGTTTTTTGTGGTCCCCATTTGTTCTTTCAGTTCTGGGGTTGGAACCCAGCTCTGACTGACTTCTGATCTCACAGTCTTTTGCTCCAGCACTCTGCCTTTTCCATTTCCTAAACATCTAATCTCACACCTCAAACGTTCAGCCTTAGAACTGGAAAAAGTGGAGAACAGTATCATTTTGAAGAAAGGATCAAATATTCTAATAAAGGTGTTTTCTTAACCATTTATTTTCAGATAATTTGATGCCTACAGAAAAGTTGCAAAAAAATACAAAGAATTCCCATATACGCTTCATGCAGATTCCTGACACATTATCATTTTACCACATTTCCCTTTTTTTTTTTTTTTCTGAACAAATTTAGAGTTTAGCCACAGACTTGACTCATAGTCACCTCTTTTCCTGTGCCCTAAAGTTGGGAGAAAAAAAACAACACACTGATTTAATTGGTAAGTAAAAGATTCTTCCTAGCACAAACGCAAAGATCCAAGTCAATGAAATCATTACTACAACTTTTGATATTTTAGATATTTATATGCCTTAATACTTAAATGTGTATTTTGTAAACATCATGTTACATGACTACAGTACATTAATCAAAATCAGGAAATTAACACTGATCTAAGGACTAATCTATAGACCATCTTCAAATTTGGCCAGTTGTCTCACTGATGTCCTTTATAGCAAAAGAAATTTTTTTTTTTTTTTCGCCTGAACCAGGGTAAATCCAGGATCACTTGTGACCTTCGGTTGTTTTCTCTTCTTTAATCTGGAAGAGTTAGTTTTTCAGTCCATCACCTTGACACTTTGTAAGAGTGTGTTGTTGTTACCGTTGTTAGGTGCCATTGAGTTAGGTTCTGACTTCTAGCGACCCTGTGTACAACAGAACAAAACAGTGCCTGGTCTTGTGCCATCCTCATAATCGTTGCTATGTTTGAGCCCATTGTTGCAGCCACTGTGTCAGTCTGTCTCATTGAGGGTCTTCCTCTATTTCGCTCTCTACTTTACCAAGCATGATGTCCTTCTTCAGGGATTGATTGGTCCCTCCTGATAACATGTCCGAAGTACATGAGATGAAGTTTCACCATCCTCGCTTCTAAGCATTCGGCTGTACTTCTTCCAAGGCAGATTTGTTCATTTTTCTAGCAGTCTGTGGTATAAGTCAATATTCTTTGCCAACAATGTAATTCAAAGGCATCAGTTCTTCAGTCTTCTTGTTCATTGTCCAGCTTTTGTATGCATATGAGGCGTTTGAAAATACCATGGCTTGGGTCAGGTGCACCTTAGTCCTGAAGAATACAGGCCATTTATTTTGTAGAACAGCCTTCAGTTTGGGTTTGTCTGGTGTTTCCTCTTGATTAGATTCTAGTTATGCATTTTTTGGTCGGGAATAGCACAGAAGTGATGCTGATTCTTCTTGGTACATCCTGTCAAGAGGCTCATGGTGTTGGAATGCCTCATTCCTGGGGGGGTGAACTGGGATCATAGGTTGCAGGGTCGGGGAGTCTGCTGGGGTTCTCCCCTTGTTCAGTTTCTATTTTCCCTTTTGTGATTAATAAGTATCTTGTGGGGAGGTACTTTGAGACTATGTAAATATTTCTACTTTTCATTCAAACTTGTAGCCACTAGTTTTAACATCCATTGATGATTCTTGCTTGAGATAACTATTACTGTGTTGGTTGCCAAATGGTGATTTTTCTAATTCCATCGTTCCTTCAATGGTAAGTAAGAGCTTTCTCTTCTCCCCATTTACAAGTTAGTTCAATCTGGCATCATGCTATAATTTGTACTTTATTGCCACACCTGGTACTGTTACCCATAAATTATCTGAAAGATGCTTGTTTTAAGTTCATGCTCTGCAAAAGTATGCCACATTAACGTTTCAATAGAAAATGAAGGAATAGTTCTGATTCATATATGACCATCCATTCTAGTCCTCTTCCCTCAGTTCCTGTGGTCGTGTTTATTCTTGTCTGTGGCCATCTGTATTCACCATTCCTTATATTTTCCCTCTCCCCATCCTGTGTTCTGTTTCCACTGCAGACTTTTACTTTGAGTCAAATGGCTTTTGCTTGTTTTAAAATAGTTTTTAAAAGAAAACATGCTATAAAAATTAAGGGAAAAAATATAAAAAGTTATAGCGATTTCACTGATTAGGTTTGTGCTGTCAGAATCTTTTAACCTCCAGGCAGGGGAAAAGAGGTGATTCAGAAGAAAAGTTGAGAAAGAATAGAAAAGAAGGAAAGTTTAGTGTAAGCAGCAACCTTTGGTCTGTCAGAGTCTCCCAGCTCGTAAACCTGGTAGAACTATTACCTCATGGGAATCCAAGCCAGTTGCTATATGACATGCCCATTCTGCCACTTCCTTGTCCCAGTTTTCTGAATTTCCTCTGCAGGAGGAAACTGGTTATGATTGACAGTGGTCTCTCCTCTCCCCAGTTTGATGAAGGAGGATAAAAAAAAACAGCCCTGCTAAGAAAGTTGGGGAAAAATTATTATGTGATAAATTTCTTTATCTAGAATGGTTAGGGACTGAGATATGTCAATTTCCTGATATTTTCCTGTCAAATAAGTTAAAATTACATTGCAGCAATTTATTTCTTGATTCAGAAGATATCTATGGGATCCCGTTTGCATCTGCTGGTTGGTATTTTAAACCTCTGTTGTCCAGAATGAAAACCCTGGTGGCATAGTGGTTAAGAGCTACAGCTGCTAACCAAAATGTCGGCAGTTTGAATCATCAGGCGCTCCTTGGAAACCCTGTGGGGCAGTTCTGCTCTGTCCTGTAGGGACGCTGTGAGTCGGAATCCAATCATTGGCAACAGGTTTGTTTGTTTGTTTGGATTGTCCAGAACTTGGAAAATTTAGCTTTTCAAGTTCAAATTCTAGAGAAGTGGAAGTTTTTATTGATTATATTTACTTAAATTTGAGATGTCCTTCAGTTCCCAATACTTGTGACTGCTAGCAAGTTCCCTGGAGTCATAGAGAAGTCTCAAGGATTAATTAACATTCATGAGCTCAGGTGTCTGAATCCTTTGTGACTCCTGGATTTTCTTACTGTAGGAGGAACTCCTGATACAATCAAGGAAAGAGCTTACATGTGGTGATCTCCCTGAAGATTTTCTAAGGAGCAAAGGTATTTATTTCTCTCAAATCTTTTCTTTTTTTCTTCTGATTGCACACACAGCTTTAGTTTACAGTTTTTATTTTGTACTGGGAATGTAAGGTGCCCACCTTGCAAGAGGGCCTTAACAATAGAAATTCTGGTTTTTTTATTTGTTTATTGTGCTTTGGGTGAAACTTTACAGAGCAAATTAGTTAGTCATTCAACAGTTTATACACAGGTTGTTTTATGACGTTGGCTGGAATCCTGAGATGTGTCAACACTCTTCCCTTCCACACTCGTTCCCTGTTTCCATCTGTCCATTTTTCCTGCCCCTTCCTGCCTTCTTGCTTTTGGGTAGATGTTGCCCTTTTGGTCTTGTATACATGATTGAACTAAGAAGCATGTTCTCATGTGTGTTAAGTGTCTGTTTTTTTATCCTGTCTAATCTGGGGCTGAAGGGTGAGCTTCTGGAACAATAGAAGTTCTTGCTATTGCTTGTGGATGTGCTTGTGTAATAGAACAATGCCTTATTTTTGACAATAGTTTGCCTCCACTTACTTTTTCTGTAATGAGTCCCTATCGACTGTGTGTTTAACCCTTAACTACTGTTGTGAAATCTTTTATTGGATTTTATAAAACTAAACTGCCATTTTGGAAGCGTTAACATAGATGGGGCAATAATTCACCCAGTATAGTTCAGTGCTGTGGAAGTGCATAGTATTCTTGTTTTCTGGGGCAGGAATGGCAGAAAAGTGTTTACTCAGGTCACCTTGAGCATTTTCAAAGTAGTTCATTCCTATTAACTCATTTTGCTCCTCAAAACAATGGTTGCATATAGGCATCTGGGATACTACCTTTAGTTTGCTTGCTTGCTTGATTGGTTGAAGAAGCTGAGGCTCAAAGAGAAAGAGAGTGGCAGAGCCAAGATCCGCCCCCACCTCCCCAGGGTCTTAACTTCTAGTCAAGCGCCCTAGCTACTATTTTATAATGCATCTCTTTCTAAAATAATCTTAAATAACTTCACAGAGGACTGTGTGTATTGTACAACTAAGGTTAATAATACAGAATAATCAAAATTTCAAAAAAAGGAAGAGGAGAAGATAAAGCAAATATGTTAAATTATATAAGCATTTTGTTACTGTGATGGAACATCAGATTTGGCTCTCAGCTTCCTGGCAGCCTGAGTAGAGAGTGAAGCACAAATCGTTCTTATGAGGAAGGACACTTGTCCCAGTTTGTCACCCTGCTTCTTGCTGCTGGAGATTTTCTCTCTGGCTCAGAGGCTTGACTGTCCAGTGTAGATTACAGGACCTTGCTCTGAAGATGAGCGATGTAGTTTTGTATGTAAGTCTCACCTGGTACTTGGGATCTTACTACGGATGCAGTTTAGAAATCCTCCCCACACCCTCCCCACATGCCCCCAAGATCATTTTAGCAGGACTCCAGTATTGTTATGGTAAACATGGTGCAGCAACATAATCAGATCTCTTAATTTGGGGGAGGAGAATTAAGAACAACATCAGCCCAAAGCTGATTCCTGTGAGGTGGAGGTCAGACATACCTCCTCTTTCCAACCTTTTTTTCCAATTCTGACAACAGTCATCCCTCCCACAGCACTCTACTTCTCTGCTAGGTTCGGTAATTCGTTACAGTGACCACACAGAACTCAAAGATCATACTCACAGTTATGTTTATTATGGAAGTAACAGGTTACAACTCAGGACCAGGATCAACTCAGTATACAGTTCTTTGGTCAGGACAGCCTCTTGGCCATACCCTTAGGCAGGCCTCTCTTTTGACCCTTTAACCCCTCAGCCTGGCATCTGCCCTTCTCAGGCAAGTGTTACAAAGCTCTTTAGCTCTGCTGACAAGTGCTCAGAGGCACCCCCTTCCGCCAACAAGCCTCCTGCCTGAAGGCGCTCAGCTCTCTTGCTCTGTAGGTCGGCTTACGTACTATAGCCGCTCTCACCTACTGTAGCCGCCTCGCTTCATGGTCAGGGAAGCCCACTGCAGCAGAGTCTTGCATGGGTCTCCTGGTTCCACTGCCGTCTATCCTCTGCTGCCGCTTCTTGCCATCTTGCGCCGTCTCTGGTATTACAGCTCTTTCTCTTTCCCCTGCGTCTAAGAGCCTCTCAGCACAGGGACCCTGGGTCCAAAGGATATGCTTCCCCCCAGCTCTTCTTCTTGGTGGTAGTGACCTTCCCCCCTCCTCTTCTGGAATTGGCTCCGTTTAAGCCTAGCAGGATGACAAAACTGACCAGTCCCCTGGATAGGGTTCCATACACCTTATTTGCATGGTCCCACCCCCCACGAGGGTTCTGTGCACCTTTTTTGCATTATTAGCAGGCTCTTCAGTCCCCTTGGTGGGCCATAAGCACTTTATTTGCATAGTACCACTCAGTCATTTTGTGGGAGTCACAAAGGCCATGGCTGTAAGTATAATGGATTAAAGTAATTTCATTACTTTGCAGTTATGTTTAGTCTTTGGTATATTTTCACCCATATCTTAACCACAAAATCCATTGTCTGTGTGATGAAGTAAATTTTTGTTCAATCACTTAACTGGCCTTTTGAACAGGAGAACCAGAGTTGTTTTCCACTTGGAAATCTGCCTTCTCAGACTTATCTGACTGTTTTCCATCTACCTAAAAAGGTCCACATGGACACGGATAAGATGAGCTTTTCCAGAAAGTGTCCTCAGATAAACTACTTTGTGGCCCTTTTCTTCCTGTCCTAATGTCATACTACTTCTTTAATGACTTAAATTGGTAAAATGAATTATTTGAGTTTCTTTCCCCAAAGCCTCTTGTAAGGCTTTCAGTTTGATATGGGGGAGCTTGAAAATGGCAGCTCTGCTAGGGTATTTAGCAGCAATGACCTATGAAGTTTGTTGTATGTTATTTCATCCATTCATCTCCTAAACGCTTTCCCAGGCGTCCCCATGTTACACATGAGGAAATAGGCTCAGCTGTCCAAAGTCACAGCCAGTCACAGCAAGGCAAAGACAAAGGTTCTATGAAGGCAGTTCTGTGAGGGAGTTGAGCCCTGGGAGCTCAAGCAAAACATGCTCCAGCACAACCCCCCAAGAGTGGATTTGAGTTAAATAGGTGCACATGATCTATGGTAGTGTGGCCAGTATTGCTGCTTGCTTTGCCAAGGTCAGGCATCCACTACGTTAGCATTTTCTACAGAATTGAGAAGTAGGGGACCCTTCTTGGAAATCCAGCCATACTCTCTATGGGGACCTCAGCTGACAAAATTTGTTCACTACCCTAAATCATAGCTCCTAGTCCGAAGTATTAGATTTACATTTTCCTGATGAAAATCTAATATATCCTTTTATTAAGTGTTTGCCGCGTTCAGCACTGTGCCAAGTGCCTTATATAGTCTTATTTATATTATTCTGAATGTGGAGGGGGGACCTCAAAGGTCATCGTTAAATTATAATTTAAAAATTAGCTGAGGAATAAGTTTTCATCCCCTGCACTGAGTTGTTTAGTCAGTGGACCTAGACAGCTACACTCTCCTCAGTAGGTTTTTTTCCTTCTCTATATAAATGTCCCATTCACAGTATTCTGAAGTTACCATGGTATTCCAGGAGTTGGAGATGCTCTAAAGTCATATGTTTCTGCTGTGGTGTGGTTCAATTAGGTGAAATGAGAGCAGGCTTAACCCTTTAACAGACTTTTGTGTTTTACAGAAAACCAAAAACCTGTTGCTGTCACATCATTTCTGACTTATAATGACACTTTAGAACAGAGTAAAACTGCCCCATAAGGTTTCCAAGGCTGTAATCTTTACAGAAGCAGACTGCCACATCTTTCTCCCATGGAGTAGCTGGTGGGTTTGAACCACCTACCTTTCAGTTAGCAGCCAAGCACCTAACCACTGCACCACCAGGGCTCCTTGTGTTTTATAGAGGAGCCTTGTAAACCAAAAGGGGTCTTTAATTGGTGAGATACTGTTTTGCCTGTTGTTCCTTATTTCTTAATTTCTGTAGGGCAGGCCGATGGTAAGTAGGAGTGGTGGCTCAGCAATGTGTGTTAGTTGAGGAGCCATTTCACAAGGGGAGAATGTTTTCTTGTCAGGCACTCTGTCTGATACCATCTCCCTTTCTGCTATTCTTGTGAGTTTTAATGTGGCTATTTCACCATAATTGTCTCTTAATATTTTATAATACTGAAATTATCAAGCTTTTTTTTTTTTTTCCCCCAGTATGCATGCCTTATAACTGGGCTTGTTTGGAGAGGCTGTGTGTAAAAAAGGTAGAATGAACAGTAGAAAAAATATTAGTAAGACTTAGTTCCTATAGTAGCGCTTTCCATTAAGGCTTATTTGGAAATTCTCTGAAATAGGGGGGCCACCAGAAATTGGAAGAGCATATAATTTTTAGAATTGAATAGTTTAAATAATTTAGATTAATTAGAATTGAACCAATCTTTTATGAGCCTTTATTTCTGTTACATAAATGTTGTTAGCTTCCGTCAAATCAGTCCCCAACTTATGGCAACCCCATTCACAATAGAATAAAACACTGCCCCGTCCTGTGCCATCCACATGATTGGATTGTTTGTGGATCAGACAGTTGTGATCCACAGGGTGTTTTTGTTTTTTCCCCCCATATTCGTGCAGTCTTAACATTTTATAAAGCAGTCTCACATCTACCATTTCTCTTGCCCTCCCCCCAAACCTGGAAGACAGCTAGGGATATAATTATGATTCCCATTTAACAGATGAGAAAATTGAGGCCCAGAGGGACAAAAAGTCTTCACAGATGTCACAAAGACAAAAGAAGGCAGAGAAGGGTCTAGAACTCAGATCTGAGTGATTCCAAAGCCAGTGCTCTTAACTACTATATTGTGTTTAAAATATGAAGATTGCACGCTAAAGACTCTGAGAAGTTCTGTACTAAGAGAATCAGTTTACTTCATCTGACTAGCACCTCCCCGATGTATTTGACCTCAGAATCCCTTTTCACATAACCTGTAGTAATATCCCATGGTACACACTTGGAGAAATACTATTTACTG